CTCGGAACCCGTAAGTTGTGAATACATGTTTCTCGGCGGATTCTGCAACCGAAAATGCAGTTTAACCCCACGGTCCCCACACTACCGAAGCCTTTGAAAGTCACACATGGAAGCTTGCAGGACAAAGCTCCATATAGTCCACAATCCATTTGGTGCCGATGTTTAGTTCATCGGATCATGCACCCTTTGGACAAACTTAGATGTCGAGAATGCCTTGTGTATTTTCGTGTGGTATTCGATTCGGTTGTTCACGAATCCCTTTAAAACATTTACTTATTCCAAGGTTTCTGTCTCTAAGCTATTGATCCCATAAGATCCTACGCCCCCCCCTCCTTGTTCAAATGACGACCTGTGTAACACGACAGGGATCCTCAATGCAGTCTACCTTTGCAATTGATTAGATAGAAGGTCTTTCCATGGACAGGTATCGAGATTAGATTTTCAAGAACTTCTGGCTTATGCATTTAGAATTAGCTGGTGATGTCCTCTCCGGTTCGATTGGGAGAAACCACGTGGAGGTCAACAGATGACGTGAAAATGAGGCTTGAAGAAATAGGCAGAGCGATTAGTAGAATGGGTATCTCCCGTCTTCCAGTTTGGGGTCCTAAAGATTCTGCAACTGGCTGATTGGAGACACTCAAGGATATGCGAACTAACTGACAGTAGTGGTTTTCTTATTGTCATTTCTTATCAGGTCGGAATGCTAGAAAAGGTATATATACACACACTTAGATTGTGTACTCTGTGTGTTGACCATAGAGGTTCACTTTCTTTGCCTCCCTCCAATTAGGCCCAATCCCTCTCCATCTTGTGCTTCATCACTTAATTTTTGTACATTGTGAATTTGGCAGCGATCAGTGAAGTTAGGTTCACTGTATCTCACTGTTGGATGATGATAATGCTTCGAGCGTCAATCGCATCAGTGCACCAGCCCCTTGGATCGATCGATCGATCCAAACGAGAATTGGAACCTTTATTTCTCGAGAGAGAGAGAGAGCGCAACAAAGCTAGTTTGCACGATGCATGCCAAATCAGATTTTGCTGCATCTCAACTCGTACAATGGGGCGGAGAACTACAGTTTATATCGTTGAACAGTACGTCTGGTTACACAAGAATACAATAGGGACTAATCGTCATACTTACCACTGACTGACAATTCTCTGCACACGCAGGCCGGGTTTCCGTTTCCTGATTGCAACCGACTCTGCAAACCTAAGAAACCGAGGGTTGGTGTTTGCATAAATGATCTTAAATCGGCTTGTCAGGTCCGAACCATGATTCGTCATCAACAAATATTCAACGATATAGACTGCCGTATTGTCCCAGTTGAGATTCAGCGAAATCTGCCGTGGCGTAAATCGTGCAAACTAGCTTTGTTGTGCTCTCTCTCCAAACTCAAATGTTTGTTACGCAGTCCGTTTACCCAGGAAACACGTTACAGTTGACCGGTGAGCCGATATTGCCTGTCGAGAGCGTTAAGCACGTCGATTCTAACATATTATCTAGTGGATTTTATCGTGTCCAAAGTGATTGAGTCATAACCCTGGACACTAATGCTGAGATGCGCGAGGTGTGCTACCCACACTAAGCTCGCGAAGATCGGTTGTGCTATATCATGTATATTGAAAGGGAAAAATAGTCTGATCAGTTACCCGGTGGTCGAGTAAGCGGTGTGCTTGCGTTCTACCCACAAGGCACTAGGTTGCGGAAATCGNTTGACGCCAGACGGTTTGCCAAGCAACTCATGGTGCAATGTTTATAAAAAAGAAAAACGTTCCGTGATTTGCAAGTGGACCGAATACTGCCAGGTTGCCCAGGCCAAAGCAGGTCAATTTTCTTGGGGAACCCGGAGCCTTTGACTTAGCCAGAGCCTGACCCGCAAGACAGCGGGGCGGTGTGTGAAAACCGCAATCCATTGGGGGCCGGTGTCCAGTTCATCGGATCACACGCCCTTCAGACGGGGTCAGACGTCCAAAGTGCTCAATACACCTCGATGCCCAATCAAGCCGGTGACTACTGCCACAACCGAATAGGTGTGGGTGTGGTTCGTACGCCTCCATTTGGTTGGTTTGGAATCGGGGTTTTTAGCCAACTCCCCTAGTTGAACTACCAGTGGTCCACCAACCCGATTATATCCTGGGATGTCGGCTTTTCGTCCTCTCACTTTGGTGGGAAAACACCTCCGCTGCGAGAAGACAGTGAGTAGGGCTTCCTCAGCAGAGGCTGTTTGAGACGCTTGGTCGTATGGGAGCATTTCGTGAGGTGCAAGGGAATGTTGACCAGCCGCAACCCTAGATACCTACACCCAACCATAATGAGGCTTTCGCACACTTCTGACGAGACCCAACCAGGCCAAAGCACATGCCCAGCGCTTAGCTTTTCAGCTCGCACTTCTTTTACGTAAATGAATTCATCATCTTCCTGTTACCCCTCTTCAACAGCATCAATCACGCACGTGATGCCGGGACTGTCACATCTAAAAGCTTACTGTTCACACCTCCAAGAAGTGCAAGCAAATCCTATGCATCTCCCAACAGATTCGGCCCGTCCTTTCTCTCTGAGGATAGTGACGACAATTGGAGATATCGTGATGGCCGTGGTGACCATTCTCCGGGAGTACTTACCAAGGACTACGAAGCCCCTCGGAGTTGGACTCATTATCTTTCGGCCAGTGTGTCACATGTACCCAATTTGATCCTCATATGCAGCATCGTGCTCTTATTTATCTTGGCGATGAGTTACCTCATTCTGAGGGATCATCACGGTGAAGTGGGGAAAATGGCAGGTACATGTTCTTTTGGGTCGTTTCGCTGTTTGGTGTGTAGATAAATGATTTTCATTATTATTATTATTATTATTATTATTATTATTATTATTATTATTATTATTTCGATCATGAAGACATTTTTTGGGACTTATTGACGGCGTAATGCTAGTTGTGTTCCCCCAAACCCATTTATCCCACAAATGCCTTGTGTGGCATCTTCATCTGTACATGCAACTTGCATTTTGACCACGTAACTACTCATTGTGTACCCCAGCCCTTGGAATTTCGAAGTGGCGTGTTATTTGTCTCAAGTAGAATACGGATAGCTGGTGAGAACCAGCTTTAACCACGGAAATTTGTTGAATTTTGCAAACCTTGCTAGAATTTGAATCGTATTACGGATATAACTTCAAAGTTCATCTAGTTTGTTACTTCACCACAGTTCGTAATTTGCTGTGTATACTAAATGAAAACTGTTCTGTAGACACGGAAAACAGCGCTTTTTGAGCTATCCCAATTGATTGCATTTCTGTATTAACATTTGAGGAAATGTAGCACACACACTGTAACCATACGGCTTAGTTGCTCGTGGTGATCACTCAGCAAAGAATAAGTGCTTTAAGATGCACACTGAGCGATTATGGTTCCTCAGATCGTGGTTTCAAACGTTCGAAATTTTCCATATTCTCTTGGAAAACCTAGTTTTTAGTGGGGAAATAGATTTTATCAAAGCATTAATCAGTACAGTCAGTCGCATGTTTCCCATCTTCCAATTTGGGTTCCAATAGACTGAAACTGGTTGTTTGGAAACTCTAGAAGACGGAACACCGAAAGATCAGTGGCGTTCTTGTTGTCACTCGTCAAACCAGAATGCTTGAACAGATGTGTACGCATATTTAGATTGTGCATTCTATATGTGGATCGGAAGTTCATTTCCCTCCCTTCCTCCATTGAAATGATCCCAATCCCCATCTCCACGTTACACTCTCCAACTGACTTTGTGCACATGTGAGTTCCACAACGATCAGTGAAGTTCACTGCACTGACTATCTCCGTACACGAGATGTTCTTTATTCTCGTTTAGGAGTGGCAGTAGACAGTTTGGGAGGTGAATAGAGAGTCGATGCACGAGATGCGGCACAACGCCAACTGTCTGGGCATAAAAAAGTTGAACAAAGCCGGACATGTAATGAATTTAAATCTGTGTGAATAGAGACCTTCATTCAAATTTTTATTGTTCGAGTATTTCGTCCTTGGCGAATAATTTCATTCCATTCACATATTGGTTCCCACACAACATTTTCCCAT